CACTCAGCGCAGTTTTTAGATAGTATTGTTTATCAAACAGTCTTAAAACTTGACTTTTTCCCATTGTTTTCAATATAAATATCCACCTCGAGGGCCGAAACAGTGAAAGATACGGCAAATCCGAGGGTAGTTTCTGACTCAGAACGTGCTGTTTTGGGGGAGTACTTCCTCTTCCATTTTACGATTGGACGCCTCCTTGTACGTCTTTAAGTGCTACGTGGTCATTTTCGCCGTATTTTCGTCGGAAAAAGCACTCTTAGCGTCAAAACGGTGCAAGATAGAGTCAAACGGACAAAATTTTCGTCCGTAAGCCTCTACTTTCACGAGTTACCCCTTAGGAGCCCATAAACAAATATTTTTTTCCTACTTTTTAGACCAACCCCTATTTCTTTGTTACCCCCTTTCTTCCCCTTAGTGGTGGTTGCCAGGATTTGCAGCAGGCGTATCTGTGTCCAGGAGTGACCCCTAAGATACCCTGAAATTTGCAGACCCCTAGCTCATCTCCTTCCTCTTACACGGACGACGGGCGGACGGACGGACGGACGACGGGCGGACGGACGGACGGACGGACACGTGAGCGGTTGCATAAGCCCGCTTTAATGCTTTTTTCAAAAGCAGAAGGGCGGGCTAAAAAGGGGGGTCGGTTCTCTTGTTGGTGAGGCGGCATGAGTCCTTTGTGAAAGTGTGAACATGTCTGCAATATGCGACCACCGCCTGCACGAGCGCAAGCACCACTCCGCGTGGAACGCCTGTTCCCAGACCCTTTCATGTTTTTTTTCTCATTAATAAGTTACAATCGACAGTGGAAAAGTAGGAAAAGTAGTGGGTCAAGGGTGCAAAGCCACACTGTTTGCACCCCGAAAATACTAGAATGACCGAAGAGGTCAAATTACGTGAAGCGGCGGGATAACGGTATGTTATCCGCATACGGATAACGCTTGTTATTGCCACGTTTTTGTAGAATATTTCTTAAACAAGCTCTTCGATGTCGTTTACGGTCGTTTTCGGTTCAACCATCATAATCCTCGGGTGGATGGGTGGGGGGGAGGGGGTGGGATTATCCGACCTTTTCAGGGTAATTTTTTCCATAAAATGTCTGTTGTTCTCATAAAATGTCACCCGATGACCAGCATGAAGCCCGACATTTCAACCACAAGTTCATTTTTTGAGACTACCCTGCCATCACATTGCGTGAAAGAATATTTTCACCAAATGCAATTAAATTTTCGAAATGAAAAAAAAAGAAAAACATGAACATAAGGAGAAAAGCAGGAAACTCTAAAAGGTTTCAAATTTGAATTTTTTTTATCCCTTCCGGACTGGAAGAATTTATGAAATTTAAGCTAGGGAGTGAGCAGACCCTTACCCCTTACACAGGAGCACTACCCATCTGAATTAGATGTATGATTTATGACAAATACAGACATGCCAGGCTTCACCGCTGAAATTGCAGTCAGATTTTTCAGAGTGACACTCGGAAAATTCTATGTGACTCTCACAACATTTTGAGTGTTCTGTACAATTGTGAGTGTAAACGAGAGTGAAGAGTGCCACTCAGAGAATGACACTCTAAAAATTTTAGAGTGCACAGGGTGTACACTTACTACAGTCAAATTGTGCAAAAACACCCCCTTACCTAGACAAAATTCCGAACAATACCAAACTTTGGGGGTGTCTAAGGAGTGCCTAGCCATAATCCCATCTTGCCGATCGGCTCAAATCGTGTTCAAAGTTCAAAATTTCGACATTTGAACAAACAGCATTGAACACCCAATTCAGGAGGTATCTAACCCTCGTAAATTATGCACAAAAGTGATTCGTGAACGTGCTCCAATTAATTAGGGAGGAAATACAGAGATATGCTACATCATGTCTAAAAACCCCGTAAACCAGGGGTCGCAAACTCGAGCCTTCCGCCAAGCCACGCCTGCATAGGCCCCACCCCCCACGAGGTCTTTGGCAATATAGTGAGAGAGATAGAGCTAGTGGTGTCGTGCGCCGCCCTGCGCGTCTGTCCTTGTTGCTCCTACTGGCACTCAATGAGTGAGACAAAGACATACACACACCGGGCCAACCCGAGCGCAAGAGGTGCGCGGCTATCGGCGAGCTGCACTACCGGGCTAGGCCAGCCGCACCTGGCTCGGGAGCTGCGAGTTTGCGACCCCTGCCGTAAACGTTCGGCAAATTTAGGAATTTGCATCAAGGGATAGGAGGATCAACTCAACATCATAGTGGATCTCGTTCGTTCGTGGATCCATATCCGAGTTTGTCTCACCCATATGGAGTGAATCCAGTGTAGAGTAACACAGTGAAATTGCTCGGAGGCCAGGCAAGCCCGCCGGGGCCGGGTCTGCCAGATCAATTGCAAACTCTAGGCCGATACACAACCACCAGATCCAGAAAAATGTGAATGTGAGACCGGATCCAGTGGATCCAGTGCTTTTAGTATCCAAGAAAAATTCGTGGCCAAATCCGTCTTGACTCTGAATGGGACCAAGCCTTGCGCTCCGAAGTGTTCCGCGGTACTTTACGCAGCCCGGCTCTTCACAGTGCTGTCCTACGCGGTCCTCCGCTGCACTCCGACGCGTCACTCGCATTCCGGCGGGCGGTACGGTGCCTCATGCTGAGTAATTACGGCCATGTCTCCGGGCGTGATGATGTTGAAACACGGCGTGGCGGGGCGTGGTAGGGCGGGGCGGGGCGGCCCGGGTCTTTGCGCTCCTTTCACTTGTTAGAAACATGAATAATACGCGTGCTCGTAAAAAACCAAAGCACCACCAGGCGCCACCCAGAGTTTTTAAAGGGGCCATCATTAGCAGTGTAAATCGACAAACGAAACCGACCCTCTTCGAGGTGCGAGGTGGTAGGTGTAGCTTTATTAGTGCAGCTCTGGAAACTAAAGTTCACTGGAAAAACAAAGGTGCTATTTTATGCCTTTTAAAGGCGTTAGTGAAATGGTGCCTCCCAAAGTGTTATTTTTGGCACAAATCGTGCCTCTACAAAGGCACAAAAATTCAATAGCACCCTAAAAAGGGTGCTATATAGCACCTTTGTTTTTCCAGTGTGTGATACAGTCCAACAGTTATAAGTGCAATACCATGAGTATTACAGTTAAAACTGTAGTACCATACATGTATCACACTTCCAATTGTAGCACCACACATGTATCACACTTTCAACTGTAGTAACAGGCTACACTTTTGAGGGGAGGCTATACTGGAAAATGGCGGTTTTGGTTACAATACCGGACCGGACGTTATGTATGTAATGTTCAATCTTGCACCTCTGAATACTGCTGTACCCCTCAAAATAAATTTCACACACTTGCTACCATGGCATCATTAATAAATTCAGTTCACACTAAGAAACCAATATGAGGCTGAGATAATTAGTTTTTGCGGTTTACTTCAGAATTATGTTTTCCAATGTTCCAAACATTCCTTGCGCATTTGGTTTTGACCTATGATGTTGAAGATTCGTGGAGATCTACTTTGAATTGCCCTCTCTACACTTTCTATTGAACATAAATAAACATTTCATTTGAATTCTATATGCAAAAAAATAAATCAGCCATAACCTTCAAAATTTTTGAACTTTTAAAAAGTCTAAAATAAACCAAAATGTTAAAAATCATCTAAGACATGAAATTGAACATATGGTGACTAGAAAATGTTCCTTAGTCCTTTCTGATTTAAAAAAAAACCGTATGCGAACGTTTTAGGACCAAATTGAATTCGAAAGAAGTGGTTTTAGTCAGACCCTGCAAACAAGGTACAAAAGTCTAACTATAGTTCAGTATACTGAACGGTTCGACCTACAGACTGCAGACAACGCTTTTCAGCGGTTTCTTGACATACCGAACCGAGAAAAAAATTCCACTAGGGTTCGCCAGGTCGGATTTTGTTCGGAAAAATTGGAAAGAAATCCGCTTTTTTTCGGGAAAAAATCACTGATAAACCAAGTGTTCAACTGCTCAACACTTGTAAGTGTGCAACTGCAAGTTAAATACTTGCAAGTGAGCAACTGCAAGTTGAATACTTGCAAGTGAGCAACTGCAAGTTGAATACTTGCAAGTGTGCAACTCCTCGGTTGCGCACTTCCTACACAGTAAGCGTCCAATCTAAGGAAGTGTTCAACCGAGGAGTTGCACACTTGCAAGTGCACAACTACCGAGTTTAACACTTACAAGTGTACGACTAGGGAGTTGCACACTAGCAAGTATCCAACTTGTAGTTGCACACTTACAAGTGTTGAGAAGATGAACACTTAGTTTATCAGTGATCTTAGGGGTCGGAAAAATTGGGAAAATTGGAAAAATTGATTTAGCCCAACTTAACCATTTCAGTGAAAAATACGCGAAAAATCTCCCCCGCGCAATGAGGGACGAAGAATTAGACTTGTTTTGGACGTTTTGCGCCATTAAAAGGTGTCTAGGCCCTAATAATTTGACTTTGATATTCGATCGTTCTCTTCAGCTACAGTCTAAATTCGTTTCGTTCTGACGCTTTACAGTGTAATTCCTACAACTACAACTAAATTTACGACTTTTCTTGGAATTTTCGCGTACTACGTATTCCAAAACACCAACGGAGCATTTTCAGCTGAGTATTAAAACGATTCAAAATGAGAGGAAATTAACAGGAAAATGCCAGTAAACATTTTGTTTTTGATAAATTTTGATTGAATTTTGAAAATGGTCGGGGTGATTGGAAAATGATTGGTATGTGATTGGAATATGATTAGTTTTTAGACCGTACACTGATTGGACGAAGTGGGGTACCCCTCGTTCTGTCGGCTCCAGCGCGCGCCTATGTCTTTCCGCCCCGCCTGTAGCCGGGCTTTAGGAGGACATTCGGAAAGGCCTGGGAGTGGGGGTGCAAGCCGGTAGGGGCCGGCAGGGGCTCCGAGCCAGCCGCAAGTCCGGAGCGCGGCGAGTGGGGCGGTGCGGGAGCAGTGGGGAGGGGCGTGCCTTTAAAAGAGGAAGTGGACGAACACTCGCGATGAGTCTGCCCGCAGCCGTGAGTGACGCCAGTTCGGTCGTGGAGTGCAACAAAGTGCGAGTGATAGTGTTAAGTGTTTTTCCGAGCAACCGAGGCAGTCCTACACCATTACGATGAGGACTCTTTCGGTGAGTGACTGCGGTAATGTCACAGATGTTGAGACCAAGGAAGACTCGTATTGGATTTACAGCAACAAGTGCATCCCTGCATCAACAAGTAGTGCACGAAGCCAGACTCCAATAGAGCAAATCTACGCTACCCATCACCCGTCACCCATCACTTGTGTTTTCGCAAAATACAATCATAAGGTGTATGTAATCATTTTATAAATACACGAAATCGAAAGTAATGGATGACGGATGAGGGGTAGCATGGATTGCTTCATTGAAGTTCCACCCTCACTGTGAAAAATAAGCCTGTAAATTTACAACATACCAGGTGGCTGATTAACCCCGCACACCTCAGTAGTTAGACTGTTCCGCACGCAAGAGTGCGGGTGGGCTTGCCTATCGCTCCTGTCCACGGCGCCTTACGGGCAGGCGCGTATTAAGGGGGAGGGCGGTGGGGGCGATCGCCCCCCCTGTGGTCCATTAGATAGCCGCCTAAAGGTAGGCAATTTGACCTACAAAACCCCTGTATGTACGCAATTTTCGATACACCGCCCCCCCTCTCCGCCCCCCCTTAATACGCCCCTGCTTACGGGCCGGGCGAGTAGGCAACCCGCCCGCCTGGTATATTGCAATTTACTTTTCAGAAAATGTGTTCTAAACTTACTATAAATTTCACGTTAATTGGCTGAGCGATTAGCGAAGCCTATTACTCTATTGATCACAAAGTTTCGCGTCTGTGTGTCTGTGTGTCTGTGTGTACGTTTGTCTGTCATCACGATAACTCGAGAACGCTTGAAGCTAGGTACGTGAAATTTTTACTGAAACGTTGAATCATAAAAAGCAAGAACTGTATAGATTTTGAGCCCTCTAGCTCAAAAATTGACGTGTCAAACAAAATCAAAAACACAAAGCCAAGAAAATTTATTTTGAAAAATATTTTTGTACATCTTTCATATCGCTACCTCGTCACAGTAGAACCCTTTGGACCGGAATTTCGCCCGATTTGCTCTATCTCTGACCGTTTAGAGGGCGATTTATCAATTCCTAATACCCACTTTTCTAATTCTGGTAGAAATTCAAAATTTTACCAAAAACAAGGAAGAGAAAGTCAGTCTGATTTGGAGCTAATTCATAGTGTGTGCGGATGAAGTGAGCAAGCAGGGGGTGGCAGCCACTGGGTACTCATACAAAGTCACAGGTTGCTCATGAATGACTAAATATCCCCCCTCCCCACCGCCCTGCCCCGCCCTGCCCCGCCCTGCCGCGCCCTGCCCCCCGCCGACCGCACGCACCTACTCGCCATTTGCCATCAGACGGCCGTCACCGCTGCGGTACGGCCGTGCTCGCCCGGCTCTTCCCGGTGCCATGCACGTAAGATACGGTGATGACCGGCGGCCACAGCGTTTTTGTTATTGTTGTTGACGCTTGCGCTTTCCTCGGGATGAAATCATAAAATCATGAACGCGTCATCATCGAAATATCCCCGCTCTGGACAGCCCCCCTTCCCCCCCTTCCGTATCCCGGCCGTCCAGACACCTTCCTCGCCCCGTCCCTCTCCATTTCTCCCGAAGGTCATCCTCTCTCGCTTTCCACTGCTCCAGCCAGCGACAGGTGCCGCTTCTTGCGGCCGGGGCGGG